TAGTTATGGTACCGGTTTCACAACTTTCTTGTCTTTGGTTTGCTCCTCATGAACGAACACGTGCAACAACAGTTGCTATATTTGCTAATAATTTTGGTGCAAGTATTGGTTTTTTAATTAGTCCATTTATTGTTTCATCACCAAATTATGTTCCTCATCTTCTTTATGTTCATTTGGGTCTTGCATTTATAGCTTGTATTCTTGCTCTACTCTTCTTTCCTGCTGAACCACCAAGTGCTCCATCGGCAGCCGCTGAATTACTTATTCATCAAGCAACTAATGAACATAATAATAATTCATGGAAAAAATTTCTCAAAGATATTTGGCAATGTTTAACAACACCGTCATTTATGCTTATAGCAATAGCTGGTGGTCTTCTTGCTGGTACATTTGGTGTATGGACAAGTTTATATGATGTTATTCTTAAACCTGAAAATTATTCTGAACAACAAGCAGGTAAGAAAATTCTAATAATAAATTAACATCAAATTTTTCGAATGTAAGCTTTGAGATAAGATTTTTCGGTTCTGCCCCCTCAGAGCAACGGGAGTCACAGGTCAATGAATATGTTTTCCTTAGCAATAGAAGGAAAGAAAGGCCAACGATCATTGGATATGTTCCTATAGCAATCTAAGATATCAGGCGTCAGAACTCTTCCCCACAGCTTCTTGCCAACGGGAGAAAAAAGCATTGAATGGCATTAGAGACAAGACTTTCGAGGCAGCATATCCAACTGTTAATCATCAATCAAATTGATATCAACAGTTGGATCTGTTCTCTAGTTAGACTGTTCAAGAACATTTCAAAGTCTTCCTCAAAATTTTAATGGCTCGAATACGTTTATCAATATTGTAAATAGTGCAGTTTTTGAGTTTTATGCACATAAAAATTTATATTCAAAATGTTAAGAATAATGCATTGATCTGCCACAGTGATAGATATAGACGAAATGGTCCGGGGATCGGAAGCAGTGTATTTTTAGATCGAGGTCAGGACGAAAAAAAGACTGGTCCCGCTCATGTCTACATAGTCGTCATATGGTCAACATAAAAAGTAGGAACTGATCACGTTATAACTTTGAAAAATAATCAATATTAAAATGAAAAAAGGACGAGCGAATAGCAATAAAGCAAACAAAAAATAGAGCACCAGTGAAAAAGAAAAAAATATCTGTGTTCGAAATGTAGAAATACATAAGAAAAATCGTTTTTCTGATGATTGATTATCTTGAAAAACAACTGTAGTCTGCTAGACATTTTTACTTTACGAAGTTTATATTAGTATAATGAGTTTAAAGAATACAGGTCAGTTCCACATTGTAATTCCACAGGAGCTATGGTGACAAGCTTTGTTTGATTTTTATTAATTTTAGGATGGTTTAGTTTTGGTTCATCACTATCTGGAATTATTGGTGGATTATTTTTAAGTTTTCTAGCTGATACACGTCGTTTTCAACATTCATTAAAAGCTCTAATTATGATTGCATATATTGGCTGTTTATTAGCTATTCTCTGGTTCGAATTATCTGTTCAATCATTGTTTTTTGATAAACCAGTTATTCCATCAAATGCAGCGACGATTGGTTTATCAACGACATTAGCTGGATTATTTTCAGGTGCTGCATCTCCATTAACATATGAAGCTGTTGCTGAAATAATGTTTCCTTTACCTGAATCATTATCAGCATCAATTCTTGTTCAATGGGTTAATGTAACTGGACTTGTTCTTCTATTTATTGCTCCTAATCGATATAAATTAATGAATTTACTTGTATTATGTGTAATAATTGTTTGTGTTTTCATGATATTATTAGCACGATTTACTTATGAAAGACGTGACGAAGATGAAAGAAAACGACTGGAAAAAGAACAACATCAAATCTTAGATCAAGATAGTTTAAATCCATATTATGATAGTATTGCTAATGAATCACAATATGGAACATTTTCATAAATATTTAAGTTAGTTTTTTTAATATAAATAAATTATATATCAAAAAATGTTTAATTCTTTTTTTTTTCTTGAATATTAACATACATGAAGTGTCCAATTTATATTCGAATATAAATGTAAATCTAAGAGTTAAATATCAATTTGAAAATAATTACAGGGTGACCGAAAAGTAAAATAACAAAGGATTTTTCGATTTCTTCTTTGTACATAATCAGTTAATTCTCATATTAATACCACATATGCCAAGTCATACAGTCAAAAATATAGTATATGATTAGTGCCTAGAGGTAGTAATTTTCTTAAAAGGGTACAAATATAGAGTACTCAAAAGTAAGGAAACACGTATGAGTTCTGACAACACTTTTATTATACAGAACCGAAAGTACAAAAGAAAACAAAAAATAAATTCGTGGATAAAAGAATTATATGTTATGATAGCAAAACTATAACTGTCAGATAATATTTTGCAACCAGTTTGGGTCCAAGTTTGAGGTCATACCTGGCGTTCAACCAAGCAATTAATGAGTTCTCAACGTTTCAAAATATGTTTACTTTTTCAAAATGCTCTACATATAAAAGCATAGGAATGAAAATCAGTTCAATCACGATCGAGCAATTTATTGAACTTGAGAAGAGATCATAGAAATGAAAAGTGATTTTGTTTTACTAGGAGAATTCATTTTCAATGAAAATTCATCTACAGATGATGAGAAACTATATGATGAAGTAATTGAATATATGGAGGAAAAAATGAACTATGAAAAAGGTGAACATGTACTATCGTGATGGAACAAATATGCATCCATGCATCCACAAGTATGATGTTTGGCACAAACATTGCGTTTTATTCCAGCATTATCAACAACAAGAAAACGTATACTTTGTGAAATTGATCGAATTTTAGAAGCAGAAAAACAACAGGTGAATCCTGAATTACTTGTTTTTTTGTGGAATTTAGGATGATCTAATTTTTGGTTGTTGTTTATAGAAGAAATTAAACAGTATACTTTTTTTTACGTAAAGTAAAAGTTTGAAATCTGTATTATCACTGTAAAAGTATCTATCGGATGTCGATTAGCTTCGGGTGGGTACTGAGTACAGCTATTCGGAGCCGGGTGCGAAAAATCGCACTCGTGCAGGACACTACTGTCAAACGTATTTTCTTGCTTTTCATATGCTGCATCTTTGACTAATATCGCCTAGTATATGTAGTATTAATATAAGACCTTACTGAATATGTACGGAGAAGAAATTGAAAAAATCTGTGCTATCTTACTTTGGGACCACCTTGTATACAGTATTGATATAAGCCAATTTGTTAAACAAGTTTTTCTATTACTAACACCAGCTATTTCATATTTTATATGATGATTCCATAGGAATTACGCTAACAGCTTGTTTTTTTAATTAAAATTCTATAAGACAAGTAACATGAGTAAAAAATTCTTTTCAGGCGACATTAAATCAACGCAACGAATAAATGAAATCAGTTACTATCAATATGCACAACAGTGCAAAAGTACGAAAAATTATCTAGATGATTCAAACGGAACAAAAATCATTGGTATTCGCTGCTATGCCACTAGTTATTCTCCGACAGACAATTTACTGCTGGTATATCGACGATAGTGCCAACAAACGTACAGTAAGGGTAAAATACTTTCAGACGATGAAAGTATCCTTCGAAATCTCTCATTAAATTCAATCCATTAAAAGTATCATAATTTATATTATACTCAGGATGATCATGTTTCTATGTTAATGTCATTACAAAAAGCTCTCGTTTAATTCATTGTTTTTTACATTAATGTAAAAGAACAATTAAATTTTATATCAATACTTGACAATAAATAAAAATTGTTCATTGTAAATAAATAATTCTTTAGTTCGAATTATTTCTAGCTCTTGCTATATGGTCCAAGTCTCTTGTAAAAAAAAGCCATTTTCTCTCGGTTCAAATCACACATATATAGTTTGTAATGATCACTGTTATCCAATTCATTGTTTTTAACTTCGATAAAAGATATTCATTGCATTACTAAAGTATAAATCGTATTGATTATTTTATTTTATTCGAAATTCATCAGTGAAGTTTATATGTTTTATTAGCAACAGTGCGGCTTTTTGCACTAATTAAAAAAATCAACATAAAAACAAAATATTTAAGAGAATGCAATATTTTAATATTTAATAGATTTTCTGAGAGAAAAGTTAGAGATGCATTTACAAATGGAAGAAAAAGTAATAAAGATGCTTGCATCTTATTGCTTTACTTTTATTAATTACTAAACTTCATTGTTCATTATGTCAGCGTTTTTTTTTCAAGAAAAAAAAGCACAGTTAGTAAAATATCTGTAGGATTAACATACAATGAAACTTTTTTCTTTGGACTAGAGGTGAAAAGATGACACATATTAATCCACTTTCTTGCTCCTCCATTCTAGAATATAATATATAATATTACCTGGCATCATTTGAGTAAAGAAAGAAGTCTCTAACATCTTGACTATTACATTCAACGTTACTTCATAAAATATTGATATTCGTAAGTTTTTACAAAGACATTAACTCAATTGTTTATTAAATCATTTTTCATTGTACTTTTTGAACAAACAATATATTTACTTGTCGTATTGTTATCGTTTTTAGTAGATTTTTATTAATGGAAAATTAGAAATTCCTTTAAAGTAACGAAGAAAATATCTGTAAAATGGTAATCAAATGCATATATTAATATGCTAACACGACAGTTTTCCATAGTCATGCACGATATATCAAACGAATCTAACAATACTATTTCAATAGACGAATTTCAATATTCAATAAATAACTCTAATATAACTTCAAACTATAGAAAACAATTTCGAAGTGAAACTACCGATATAATTCAAATACCTTTTTTTATACTGATTATTATTTTTGCTTTTGTCTATATAATACTTATTTTAAGTCGAAAAACTCTTCGATCAAATAAATTTACTTGGTTAACAATTAATGTATCTATTTCAAATATAGTATTTTCTTTTGAACATTTGTTATCAATTATTATGTTTTTAAGTAATCCACCAGACATTAAATTATCATGTCGTTTAAAAGATTTTTTTATGTATATGAGTGCATATCATGTTATGTATGCACATTGTATTGCTTCATTTTGTCGTGTATTATCAATTCAATATCATTATAAACCATTATTTCGATCAAGCCGTTGGATATGGGGAAATATCATTGTAAGTTGGATTATTGGATTACCTGCTTCATTACCTTACTTATTCTTCGATGACGGTGCATGCTTAATTCATAATAGTGAAAAGTTTCTTGACATATATGCCTGCTTCTCTATAATATTTGCACCAGTTACTATTGTCATTATATGTAATCTCGCAACGCTTCGATATGTACGGTTATCAAGTAAACGTATACATAATTTAAATAGCAACAATACAAATCAACTTGGCAAACGAGAAATGCATTTATGTAAAACAATGTTATTAACATTTTGTATATATGTTATTGGTGCGGCACCAATTTTTCTCGAACGAGTATTTGTTAATGATGAAAATTATTTTCCTTCAGTTGTATCAACTATTTTTCGTATTCTACCAGCAATTGCTCTTTTCGCTGATGTAATATTACTTATTTATTCAGATCAATCAGTTCGTAATATAATTATAAAAACATTACAATGCAATGAAAAATTTTTATGTATTTTTAAATGTTAATTCATAAATATTGTCGTGTTTGTAAAGAATTAAATAAATACAAATTAATCTTCTGAATAGATATCATTGATTTATTTTTCTTTTGTGACGGTAATATGAATGTTGCTTCTGAGACAGTAGCTACACAAAACTTGCTTGATTACTAAGACTTCTAATAAAATATCGTGGGACAAAAAATATCGCAGATAGAGATATGCGGTACTATATTTTTTTTTGTTGGTCGCAGCTCCGATAACGACTCACCTGAATAACATTCAAAGTAAAAATATCGAAATATCAAAAAAAAATTTTGTTGTTTAAAATTGCGAATGTTAGACACTGGTACAAAATAATTAAAACATATGAAGCGAGATGACACTAACAGTCAATAGGTTGTGTGTGATGTGCGTGTGTCTGCTCTGACTTCATGCCTACATCCCAGAGATGTATCCATGGTTCAGAAACTCGCAATTTAAGGAATTAAATGGTGTGATGAATAACTACCATACCTATACTATAAAAATACCATGAACTTCGAGTAATTCAAGAAAGATCAAGAATTTCAATAGAGAGAATAGTGGTAAATAGCTTCCATAACTAGAGCTTGTAATTATCATGGAATTTCAGGAGGTGTACATTTGAGTATCAATGATTTTCTATTCACTTCTGCCGCTTTCATTCTCAGAAGTTTTTTTTTTATTTCAATGATATTTACAAGGTGTAGATATATAAGTTATTGAAATCTATTCAATTCATTGAATTTCTTTATTTTCCTTGAATTGCAAATTTCTGGATCGTGGGTACTGCTGACACTCCACTCTCTTTACGCAAAACACTTTTTTCTCTAAAATATGATTGCTATATTTCTAACATTAAAATAAAAAGTCTTTTTTAATAACACACTACAATAATATCTTTTTTTTACACACTCTCATACTTTGTCTTTCGACCAAATTCAGGTTTACGCCAGCAACATTTTCTTTAGTAGTCCTTGTTATGATCTCAGTAAATCTAACCTAGTTCCTGACCCAGCCTAGAGAAACCTGTTCCAGAAATTATTTGTCTTACATCTAAAAATATTCTTCAATGCTCATTTTTGATTTCATTTAGTCAATGACTAACACTTTTTTCGGTCATCTCTCTTGATATATATTCTGATTAATATGATTTATACAATAATTCGCTTAAAATCGTCGAGTATTCAACTAAAATCTTGAGTTCCGATTGGAATAACTTTTTTCTCGTAATTCCAAGTCTCGGCAACTTCTCTTTCCCGTACCCCCCAATTCCGCATATCTCTAGTCACGAAACAACTATCTGGAAAGCAGCGATCATGAATTCATTTTTTTCTGTGAATTCAGATAATAAATTCGAAAAAAAAATTAATTGTTAAAGTTTCTTATACCGATTTGTGACTTTACGGAGGTCAACAGAAGTTTTTAAATCTTGTCATAACATCAAAATTTTGTGCTCTTTTCGAATCTAGATTCGAAAGGTTTGTGAGATTTATAAGTTAGAAACTATGAGTGAACTTTTGAAAAAGGTCTGAAAATAAAATTTGAGCGGTAACAGTTGCAACAATAGATCCAAAGATCGAGAATGGTGACCGCATCCTGTTAAAAATTGATTTTATGATGTTGTTCAGCGATCTTTCTTGGTACTTTCTTATTTTCGTCGTTATGACACATAATTTAGTATAACTCCACTTCTTTTTGCTTGATTGTTAAGTTTTTACATAACATAATGGTTGAGAAAACATTCTACAAAGTGAACTATAAGTTGAAAATCTTACAGTAATGCTTTAGACATAACTAAGCTTGTTTTATAAGTCTGAAAATCAAAAAACAAATTGTGAACATCTCGTCAAATCTTTTTCAAAGCTCCTATTGTTGATAGATATCTTGAAGAAAATTTATTATTAAGAATTAATATTCTAGAGAAATATTTGGAAGATAGTTTTTTCTTCTAGTTTGGACATCTTTCTTGTGTTATGAAACTCGTTCAAATTTTCTTTACAATCCTTTTAAAGATTCATTCATAATTTTTAACCTATAAGTCTGACAAAAATTTTGAAATTACATTCGGAAAAAAACACAAAATTTTGACATTTTTTGAAATTTCTGTTAGGCTCTATAACCAATCGAAAAAACGAAAGAATTTTTGTCTTAAAACGTTCGACGTACTTGTTACTATATAGGGTGTCCAGTAAATGACTAGAGTTAGAAAAAATTGCATATCTCTCTGCTACGGCTCGAGCAAACAGGCTGATTTTTCTACCAATAATAGAAGCATGTTCACACTTTAAATCCATACAGACAAGATTAGAAAGAGCCTTTGTTAAGTACCACCAACGACCTCAATAAAAAAAATTTTACTTTTTCACAGATAGGAAAAGAACACTATACGGAGTAGCGCAAAAGTCACTTTGCCGCAAAAAAATTGAATATCTTCACTATGGCTCGAGCAAAAGAGCTGATTCTTTTATCAATGATAGAGGCATGTCCAAGCTTTATACTCATAAAGACATGCCTAGAGAGATCCTTTGTTAAGTCTATTGTTTTTTTTCTTATCTGTGAAAAAGTAAAATTTTTTTGTTGAGGTCGTTGGTGGTACTTAACAAAGGCTCTTTCTAATCTTGTCTGTATGGATTTAAAGTGTGAACATGCTTCTATTATTGGTAGAAAAATCAGCCTGTTTGCTCGAGCCGTAGCAGAGAGATATGCAATTTTTTCTAACTCTAGTCATTTACTGGACACCCTATATATATATTATAATATCAATTTTCAGCATTGATGAACAAAGAAATTTCCTTGTGGTTATAAATAAACATTAATTCAAATAAATATTTATCTGTATCAATTAAAATTTATAATATTATTCATATTATGATTTAATTATTTATTTTTAATCAATAATCAATTGTATCAATTATCAATATCAATTACTTCAAAAACATCAAACTAGTGAAAAGATGATAGAAACTTTTATTAAAAATAGCAATTCTAGATGATATTAAAAGTTTTGTCTGAAATAAAATCAATGAACATTGTTATATTTCTTAAGGTTTATTCTAATCAAAGATTTTGAGAAAATTTCTAATTAATTTCAAATTAATTTCATTATTTCATCAGATTTCAATGACATATTTATTTATTTCAAAGTTGATTTATTTATTTATTTATTGATTATAGTGATGTTGAAAAAAGAAGAAAGAACAATATCGATTATATAATGATGGTTATTCTAATGTCGATATCTTAATATATATTTATTTCAAATATAGTTTAGCCAAAAAGTGGTCCTTTTCTTTTCGAATTAATCCGTCTTTGTCGTTTTAATAATGCCAAAAGTAAACTTTGTTTATTGGGTTTCATAATGTCATATTCATCACTACTATTCATATCATTTGTATCATTTTTAATTAATTCGAAACTATCGTCAATCAATGGTGTTATGATTGAACGACCCATAAGTGGAGCTCGTAACCGTCTAGCAACATGTAGTTTTGGTGTTTCAATATCAGGACTTTGTAGAAACGGAGCGAATGATGTAACACTTATTGTTGGCTAAAAAATTATTAACATTATCATCATTATATTCATTATTGTATTAACTTTACCTGTAAAACAAGAAGACACAGTACACAAAAAAGTGTAATAAACTGCATTATTGACGATTATGAAGTTTCAGATCTAAAACAAAAAAAGAAGGAAAAGAAATTGTCAACTAAAGTCATGCTTTAAGTTGACGAATAATTTCTATTAATCAAAAGAAAAATTCCAGAACAAATGTCGCTTTTTTTATATGAAATAATAACAGTAAACAAATGTTGTTTTTTTTTTGTTCAGATCCCATGACATTTAATTCAAAAAGATAAACAGTAAGCAGACATCCTAATTCAATTACATTCGCTTGAATAATAGAAATAGAACAATTGAAGAACTAAAAAAAAATATTAATTTGTACTTGAATTAAATGCATTCACTGGAAAAGACATATTTGTTAACATTGTAAAGATATAAAATAATTACCAATAGTGATACTTTCTTTTCTTGTTATTAATATATAGATGTCAAACATTTAATAGTTAACATACCCAAATAACTAACTTATCGGCTCAATACTTTATCAGCTTTAGACAACATATTTATCTGTTAGTGAATATAACAATGAAATGTTTTATTTTCATTTGCATTTTTGTACGTCAAGTTTATCATGCATATGTCTTATTAAATCAATATACTTTTTGTTTTCGATATAGAATATCCAAATGTTTGTTAGAGAATTAAAAATGCTATATTTTTAAAATGCATAATGAAGAATTTATAATCTATTTTTTCATATTAGACAGATGAAAAATGAAAATATATCGAGTTTTATAATGAATAAATTCATTGTTACTTTTTATTAACAGAATATTAGACAAATTTTAATTCTTTTTATTTATTTTGAAAATATAATGACTTCGAAACGTATGAAAAACTTGTTTTCTTTATTAAAATTAATTGATACTTCGTTATCGTTTATAGAAATATATCGTACTGTGAAAGATATAAACGATATCTATCTACCGATATATATCTGTTTCGCTAATAAGATTATTCTATGCAACGATTTAGGAGAAATTCTTTTCTATACTTGAAGATTTACGAAAAAATGTCTATTGTATCAATCAACAATTTATTATACGGAATCAAATTTGACTTTAAACAAAAATTATAAAATTGCAAAATAAATCTAAAAAGGTTTTGTAAAATGTTATATATAGATATACTAATTTATGTAGAGTTAACTCAATCTTAAATAATAGGATGATAGTTGAGTCAATGAAACTTAATATAGATAGAGTGTATGATAATAAAAAAATTAGTATAGGTTATAATTGAGAACTATTGAGTTTAGAATCATATTTAAAAAAATCATGAAGTTATAAATAGATTGAAAACAGATTCAATATCAAAAGGTTTTTTTCGTTGTATACTCGATGATATTTGCGTATGTAAAGAATATTGTAATGAAGATTGAAATGTCAATATTAATCAATGGAAAAACTAATCTTATGATATTATGTTCATCTCCGTTACAGTAAGAGATAAATTAGTAAATATAATCATGATTTTCTCTTTTTTTGTTGTTGTCTAGATGAGATAAAATGATAATTTATTTACTTAAATAAGTTATTTTTATCGGAAGAAATAATTTTTGAATTATTTATTTAAACTCTATTCCATCATATCAAATATTGATTTTGTGATTTATACAAATATAGAACCATATTCTCATAGTATTTCTAATAATCTATCTGTTACATTCATTCATACAGTATTTTTTACATAATGTTCTCCATGAGTCGTTTGAACCAGAATTAGAACCGGTAGAAATGGTGAGACGTGCGATCGCACTGCAGTATGAATTATTGTTAATTTTTTTGACTCTATAACAGTCAAATTAACCCTTCGATTAGCCATGTCTATGTTCTAATCAGTACAACAATAATATAAAAATCCTTTTTTTTTACTGCTTGTTAATATCTATTTCAATCAATTTTTTTTTGTTTCGTAGTATCTATTGCTGAACGAAAAACTTCTTAGAAGTACAAATTCTCTATTAGTTTTTCATATTCATTAAATGTTCGTAAGACACGAACGTTATTTATTACTTGTATATTTTATCTGCTTCAAACATTATATTCATTTTGCTATCTCTCATGTCTATTCAAAATATAAATAACTCTATGATAACTACAATGTAAAATGATTATTCAATTTTATTTTAATAGTATAACTTAATATGGAAGTGGGTGGATAAAATATAATTAGTATATTATAATGAATTTTGACTAAATAAAACAGCCTTAGACTTTTTTTTTTCTTCACATAAATAGTCTTCGACATCAGTAAAGAGTGTTGTTTTGTGAAAAAAAAACAATTTATATCAGCCGGTAGAAAAAAAAGATGTTAGGTCTATTAGATTGGCCGTTGACTGTTACCGATTACAAATCTGATTTGAACTGACACAACAATAGCAAATATTCTAACATTCAATAAGAGAGTATGACTTTATACACGATTGTGGTATCTGTCACTCATGCTTTCAATTCTAATAAAATCCAATCATCTTAGATAAATTATTAATATCCTTAACCATATTTAAAAGAAGTAATTAGTGTTTTGCGAGAACGACTTTTCTCGATTCTCGTTTTCGTACGAACAAGGCTTTCAGAACTCTTATTACGATTTCATTTTTCATATTTGAGAAAAAGTTATTATTACCAGACGGTAGCTTCTATCAATGTCATACATTGCGCAATATGAGATGACCTTAAATTAAAAATAAAATTATCATTCGCAGTGTATTTTAGTACGTAAAGTTGAAAAAAATGATTTCCTTCATCAACTGAAAAGAAAAAAAACAATACTAGCCCATCATCAATATCCATGGAAAAACAAAATATTCAAGAGGAGAAGATTATAATATTCTTTTCGAAGAAGACAATAACAAAGAAAATAATAAATGTAATAAGAGAATTATGATTTAATGAACAATAAATGAATTTGTCTAATTTTTCTTGAAAGATATTTGCTATTTTTCTGTTAATTAATAAACGATGCAATAGTCTTTGGAAGAATGTCGCAACTTATGTCTCAACAATGTAACATCTGATTGACTTTAACTCTTTTTTTTTGTTTGAATGAACAAAATTTGAAGAGTAATTATATAAAAGAAACCAAAAAAAAGATTGTGTGTCTAGTTGATTTATTTTGTGCGAGAGCATACTTACTACTAATTACAAAAAACACGTGTTGTAATATCCGTAAACATTTATTTGGCAATTGATACCACTTCATTATCTAGCTATCATGACTAGAATCTACCGCTAGATAGAGTTAAAAGCACTTTATCTAAGACATAAATTTCAGAACTTTTACGAATTCACTGTTTTCTTCTATTTCACAATTTTTACAAAACTGATATTTCGGTGAAAAGAATATTATACAAGAGAATTTTCTTATCGACAATGTGCCCACAAAAGTATTCCAAATAGATAGAATGATAGGGATTGAAAGGATCTATTCGTAGATAAGCTTAACTCAAAGTTTGAGAACAAACGAAGTCGTGAAGTCAGTGACTGAAAACAACGAACAATCAGATTGTACAGACATGTTGAGCGTTGCTTCGTATTTGAAAAACCATCATAATAAAGTGCAAGTAAAAATTTTAACTATCTTGACTTGTTTGCTTCATTCTCCAACATTCGGCCTTTCAAATAAAAAAAAGGTTCAGGTCTATTCAATATTCAGTTGTTAAGAGATGAGTCTCGACATTTTTTCAAAGACTTTTGCAAGACTTATTATATATCAAAATAGTTATTAAGAATTAAAAAAGGTTTTACATAAAAATATTTTAATGCATATGAAAACAAAGCAAAACGATTTTCAGGCACGCTCATTTTTGATACTATTCCTGGTCCCGAAGAACGCTAGAACTAAATCAGATGATTTAAAATTGGTAACATAAACATTTTGATATACATGAAAATATTGGATAGTATAATAGAAAATTTCAATCATAACTATAAATATAGATTGTAAGGATAAAAAAGAAGAAAAAGAAAATGATGTTTATCATAACTTAGATCTGGATTATATCAAATCATTGATTACAACAAACTATTATAGATAATAGAATATTTATGAGGTTTTTTTTTAGTGTAAAAGATAATATTTTATTTATATATTTGTCAGATACGAATTCAAACAAATGATCAAATTAGTTTTTTTTCAAATTTCATAGTTTTGACGAGAAAAAAAGACTTTGAAAATTTTTATTTTGGTTTGTGGTTATCAACATCATGTTTTCTTGCTGTCTTATCTTTGAATCATAACAAAATATCATATACAAAGTCAATAGGGGAAATATTTGATCATGTTAATCGCATAGATATTCGATCTGACTTTAAATATGACTTAAAAAATAGTTGTTTTTATTTAAATTCAAATATTTCTTTTGACGATTGTATACGTGTATTAGCATCAATAACATATTAGAAATATGTGCTACATAATTCTTTTCATACTTATAGTCTTAGCAATAGCGAAAAGCTCTTTTGCAGGTTAAGAAAAAATTATAATCTTTAATAATTTTTATTTTTATTATTTATCTCTAGTTCAATGTAATACAAATCCTTGTCAACTCGGTGGTTATTTCATACCACCTAATTATAACTGTATTCAATTGTTACATGAATCCAATGTTATTTGTACATGTCCTAATGAACAAGGACGAAAAAATGCTCCGTGTCGTAAGAAATAATGTTTTTCAAGATTTGAAGTCTAATGATTAGATTGTAAATATCTAGGTGTTTGTGATAATGTTCATTGTGGTCCAAATGGAGTTTGTATTGAAGCAGGATGGTTCCAAGATTCATTTTATGCTTGTGCATGTACGAGTGGTACATATAATTATGTTATTCCAAAACCATGTCTAGGTGTTAGTTCAACAACGGTAACAAGCTAAAACCCCTTTAAAAAAATGTCCACGAAAAATGGTCCTCAGAAAAAGTTTCTTCCATCATGAAAATATCTTGTCTATAAAACGCGAGCTATGGTACACGATAATATTAATCATATAGTATAATTTATTATAATGAACTGAATTCTCTTTTAT